CTCGACGCCGTGGCCGTGGACTACGTTGGCACCGCTGTGAACCCCTTTCGGCCGACGTTGGTCGTCGGCCTTGGTCCTGTAGGGTACCCTGTCTCTGCAGCGACTGTCCTCCCCATCCCACCGCTCGATGCGGTGGGGCAGGACACGCCCCGGGGGCGTCGCGTACGCGAGCTGGTGCTCCCCCACGGGGAGCTGGCGGCGTCCCCTAGCAAAAATGCATGCATATATTTTACTTAAAATTTGCCAATATGTGGCCGCGCTACACTTCATGGGCCAACAATTGTTCGTTACCACGTTGCAGATCGGTAACACCCATTTGCTACATGGCTGATACATTGTTGTCACAGTAATACTGGCCATGTAAGAAAAGTGTGATGTCGGCCAGGTGCCGGACTCTACAGTATTTAATGGCCGGTCGATATATATGTGTGATAGAACTATATTTGCCATACCCGGGGTTTCCTCTACACGGTCCTTATTAGAGCCATCCCGATGGCACATGTCAACGCTTGTGCGTTCGTCTTTGTAAATCTGGGAGTAAGACTGCTTAATTTCGCCCGGGTCGGAATCCTTGTACGCCACGACACTGCTAATCATATAGGCGTCTGGCACAGCAACATGGCGTCCAGGACGGTGGAACGCGGCTCGCCAAAGCCGTCACCAGACGTGGAGAGGGAGTTGTACATGAAAGCGCGATTCTCCTTGGACAGAATGCCAAACCCGTGCATGGCACGCTTGACGTACTTGTGCCTATCCAGGTTAATGATGTTCCCAGATTCTTTATCGAAAACCAAGCCGCGGATAAAGTAAGAAGGGTCATACTGTATTCTCAACAAGGGCTCCGGGTAACCCAGCTTGTAAACAGGCATCTCTAGAGACTTTGCCGCGGAAAGCGACTGTTGTACTGGGCACGTACCTGCCGTTCATGGTGCTGGACCGGGTGCCGTCTTTCACGCGGTACAAGCTCCAGCCCTCCAAGCCGGCGACGCCGTCCGCGATTGCGCGCTGCCCCTCGCGCGTCCTCCTTACCCACTTCCTGCTGGTCCTCCCGATCATCCTTCTCTCGCACCCGCTCTTCTCCTTCCTCGGCTGCGCAACGCCCCCCTCCGCCCTCTTGTCCCTCCCCACCCTCCTGCTCCAGCTCGCGTTCTTCTTCATCGTAGAGGACTGGGCCTTCTACTGGGGCCACCGCGCCCTGCATTCCCCGTTCCTGTACACACACTTCCACGCCGTGCACCACGTGCACGCCGTCCCGTTCGGCGTCGCGGCGGAGTACGTCTACCCGTTCGAGGTCCTGTTCCTCGGCTTGATCTACGACAGGCCCCGTATTCGGAACTTGGGAAGCTCTTTTGCTTCTGATGCGCTGGCTTTCAATGCACGCCTGGTTTGAGATTCTCTTAATTGGCGCATGTCGTCCAAGAAATAGGTTCGTTTTGCTATTCTACCGGAAATACGTTTCTTTGTTTCCATTACTGATATTTGGTGCGATATAGAATCCACGCTGTCGATTCTCTTCCCGGTAAAAATACCTGCGCGTTCCATGCCCCCCTTCACGCATACCTGTCCACAACCGGATTGCTTTAGTCCATTCTGAGCCCAGTCGCACAGTGCGAACATGTAGACAACGCTGTTTAGATTGTGCTCAAGAAAACAGAGTACGCGCCCTTAATATACGTGTATGAAACCTCCACTCCCTTCGAAGCTCCCCGCAACGTAACATGATCTGCGTGCTTCATCATTTTCATACACATCTAAAGATTTGTACATTATAGACGCATTATTAGCTGCCTTCTCATCCAAAACCCTATCCCACAGGACGACAGAGTTGTTTTCATTGACGGCTTCTGAAGCAGCATTTGCCGTCATTTCGAATTCCCGTATGTAGCACTCAACAAGGGACTGGCCTAAATTGCATTTTAAAGCTTTCGAAGCCTCATTTATTCCTAGCACCCGTTTGGGATGCCGGAAAGAAAAACCGTCATATTTCTCGAGAGTACTTTCGCTCTTCAATGCGGCGGAAACTTCATGAACATCTTGCTCCAGGTCGAGCCTCGGTATGTGTATGCCTTCTCGCAGACTATACATGCCAGCGGAAGCTTGAAACTTAACGTTTTCTGTAATAGATTCTGCAACTAGGTGTGTTGCTTTGCACCTTCGGTTCAGGTCCCCAATATATCCCTCCATTGCCCATTGCGATACCAGTGAGACCGGACCACAATCCCTGATGCAATCTTCTAGGTGAAGCAATAAATGGTACACATATTTGAATATGTGTAGTCTGGAGGGGTCTTTTTTATAGTACTCCTTCATAGAATGCTCGAAAAAGGATACCGAGAGTCTTCCTATCCGCCTTACATCCTCCTCGAAAAGCTCCCAGCGATTGACAAGCTCACAGAGCTGAACGAAGCTCCACCAACCTTTTAACATACTGTCTGGAATGACGTCCTGCAAAACAGCTGCACTTGTACAATGAACAAATAATTTCCATTCGGATGCCTTCCACTGCTCCATCTTATCAAATGCTCGTGGTCTCCGAACACTGGAGCTTATACCCACACCAGCATTTGATAACGACTCATTCACGAGGCGCAATGTTTCTTTTTCTTTTAGTACAGCGAGCTCCCCGAGCTCAGACACCTCGCCCAGCCATATTCCCACAATGTTTTGGCAACATTCTGATAGAGGAGGTGCATGATATCTATCGGGAAGCTGCGGAATGCCCTCATGAAAGGCATTCGCTTGACAACTCCTGTAAGATCTCCCAACTTTACTCCTGCGCGTTTCGAAAGATACTGAGCATCTTTCTTCCTTCCGTCGGCCTCGGCCTTCTTTATCGTGTTCAGGGCTTCCATGAAACCTTCTTCGTCGCGGAGAGGGAGTGATCGCGCATTATAAAGCCTTTTTAGAACGGTCCTTTCCCGACCAGTAGTGCTATCTGCCTCCGTATATTCGTCGGGAAAGTAGTGATGCCTATGCGGGGGAGAATATCTCCCGAATATTGTACAGTATCTACACGGGCAATACCCGTTCGCACTGACCAAGTTTGTCAGCTTGTCCATAGCTTGTAAGTCCCCCTCCGTGAAAAAAGGTCGACTAAGATCTTTTCTGTTTTTCCGTTCCAGAGCCTTACACGTCGCCCCTCATGAGGCTCTTCTAGTTCCTGAAATAGCGGCTCCATGAACGAGACCACATCGGTTGGAGCATTCGGACCAGGCACAATTACAACAGGGAGAATACTGGCAAGCTTGGATCTGCGCGAGGGAGGTAGGTTTAAAACTTGCATGACAATTGGCCAGTAGCTGTGCTGGGATGACTTGAAAGCTTGCACTCCATCTGTGGAGACCGAGAGAAAAATCCGGTTTACGACGCTGTTTAAACTTCCCATCTTCTGGGCAACTTCCTGAAATAGTCTTCCAAAGTAAAAGTCTCGGAAGACTTTTTCCCCCTCCCCATACGCTTCCCGAACCCTTTCTTCATATTCTTGTAGCAGCATAGGTCCTAAGACTTTATCCTGGAGCCAAACTTTGAGAGAATCCCATGAGAAAATGTACGTGAATCGATTTGGTCGCGCCGCACACCTTGCAGTAGAGCATGGGGCGAAACTGCCGTTATCGCGCTGCTTTAGAGCCCCATGCCCAGAAGGGCAACAAAGATAATCCTGAAAACGAAGCCCAGAGTGTGTCAACAATGCCCCTTTCATACTCCGCCATGAGATGTACTGTTCACATTGTTCATCTTTCAGTAGATCTGTCATGAGAGCTTCGGTGACACCGCTATGTCGCACTTGTAAACCGACAAGCCTGGCGTGATTGCGCATGAAGAGCATGAATCTGCTGTTGTCTTGAATGTCATCGAGTAAACTTGAACTACAGCTTACTGTATTCTCAGATTCTGTCGTAACATTTACCGTATTATCCGAACTTGACCTTGTACGAAGCACCGCCATAGGGATGGACGGGGCTGCATACTCACCATTGATATCATCGGAATGCACAGTGCTATCTGTGTCGATAGGTGGACACGCGTCGTCCTCATTGGAAGCATTTTCATCTGCGTCTGAGGTAATTATTTCGCTGTTACGCTAAGCACGCCTTAAGCCCATGAGTTGTTTTCGAAGGCGTCTTTACTACCACCGGCAAGGGAAGGGGACGCTTCGGCACTGTCATCCAGGGAACTCTCGTCTATCAAGGGTGCTGATGTTTCACCGAAACTTGCACCATCTCCGGTCATGCGCTCAAGGGCATTATTTTCATTGTGAATTGCGGAGCTCCCCGAAGAACTCTGCGTTTCGTGTGATCCAGAGCTCTCTGGGCTCTCGAGATCATCAATTGGTATCGCTCGGGGAGGTGGGATCAGCTCGTGGAGATTTCTGGCTTTCGCAGAGCGCCAGTGTGCGAATGCCGTGCTTCTTTGGACGTAGCGCCCCCGGGGACAGGGGCAATCAGAACGATCAGAGCAGAGATACGCAAAAGATCGTCTACGCTTCATTGAAAACAGGAGGAGAAACCGGGGATGGCAGAGCGTCGGGGAATTTCCGGAGTCCCCACAGACGGCGGGTTTTAGTCCTCTGTGGAAGGTTTTATGAAAAAAATCATTTTACTCCGGCCATCATGGACAACTGTTATACCCTTCTGGGCCGCCCGCGATACACCCGCCCACCCAGGCGCTGGCGCGCGGGCGCTCGCGGACGCCGCTTGCAAACCCGCGCCACGCGCAGTGGCGCCGCGGGCCCGGCATCACCATCCCGTCCGAGGACTTCGACTTCGCGTTCATGCAGGAGAAGTTTGATAAGGCCTCGCTGGCGGAGAGGGAGGAGGGAGAGGTTAAGGGGTACGTGCAGGTTGAGGTGAGGTACGATAAGAGCAAGAGCTTTTTCGATGAGCTCGTCCCGGAGAAGGAGATGGGGACCGAGGGGTATAACGCGGCGGCGAGGATGGCGACGGCTATGGAGACGTTTGGGGAGGCGGGGACGGAGTATCATGGCAGGCATGGGTATCGAAATGGACGAAACAGGAGAGGGAGCGGGAGAGGGAGAGGGAGGAGGGGAGCGTTCAATGGACATGTTGGCGGTCCCAGGGGGAGCCCTGCGATGGATCGGGCTGAGGCGGGGAGGAGGGTTGGGAGATAGGAGAGAGGAGGGCTGCGTGTTGTTCGTTCAGCGCAAACGAGTGGCTTTGCTGTGCTCGAGAGATATGTGTATTGTGGACGCTTTTGTTAAGAACGTGGGTCGAGGGCGCAAGGTGGAGAGGTGTGAGTGAGGTAGGTGCTGATGATGAGGAGATAGCCTTGCCGAGACCCTTGGCGTCCCGTTCGATCGACACGTCGAGCAACTCGGGGGCGCACGTACGAGATGCTCGTTTGCGCGGTAAGCTCGAGGAAACCTGCTGTGTACGTGCTAAGAAAGGGTCAATTCTAAAAAATCAATCCATCGTCCCCCCGTCCTCAAACCTCAACCCCTTCCGAGAAAACCACTGCCCTGTCATCTGATACTCTCCTCCACTCTTTCTGATCCATAATAATGCAATAGACTGTGCATCTTGCGGCGTGAGCAGAAATGCCACGCTATATGCGGGCCCAAACAATGGGGCACAACAAACGCCTCGCCAGACGCAAAACCGAGCGTGTAAGAAGAGAAAAAGCACATCAATACCAACAATACCAACGTCAGGCCTACAAAGTTTGCAAAAGTGACACAAAGAGGCCGCAAATCATGTGCGTCCAAATTAGCAGGGCAACATCTCGAGGCTCCGAAGGAAAAAGATGTTTCGTTCAGTAGCAAAGACTGTGTTTCGGAGCCCGGACACACTAGCCGAAAGATAATTGATGTACCAGTCACCAGAAATGGGTCTGATGCTGAGAAAGAAAACCACGCTCCCACTGCAGAGCTTCGTTTTGGTCAGGCGCGAGAGGGTCCTTCTACGAACGTTTGGGATGACATCCCGATAGCGCAGTGGGCCAGTGCACGCAGAAGGGGTGTTGCAGAAGGCGAAGGTCGCTTGTCGCATGGCAGAACCAAAATGGCGGCGTCAGGATTGATGCGTTTGGCACACATGCGTTGGAAGTGCTTCGTGATCGTTTTATAATTGATCCTTTTTTGTGTTTTCAAGCTCATCCTGGCCTCAGGTCGGGCAAGAAAATATCGTTGTGATTGGTAAAATTCAACGATTTTTGCCTTTCTGGAAAGCGTTTAGAATTGAGCCGCCCAGAAGGGTACTGTATATGCTCCGTCTCTCCTCTGTTTGGCGATACGAAAACGGAATCCGAAGCGAAAGCATCTTCAGCCGAAACCCGAATCCGAAGCGAAATGAAGTAACCGTCTTGGTAGCGCGGACGGATTCTCCAACCCCATGATGGTATCATCTTCAGAGCAGGTTGGAGGTATCTCGCACAAATACCTGTATCACTTGGTACGCACGGAGACAACATGCCACGAATTATTCCCAACCTGTTCAAGCAACCCTATCGCGGTATATTAGGATCGGATAAGAACCGCACGGTTCAGCCAGGCCCTGTCCTGAATGAGCTAATTCAGAATCATAACAAAAACTCCACTGACGATGAAAAAGTTCCAGAGCTTGGCTGCAGTCCGATTGCATTCTCCCATAAGGTTGCATCTGCAGCTGAGGAAATCATTTCGGAATGCATCTTTGCCAAACAACTAGGAAAACGGTCTTTACGCGAACTAAAAGCAACAACGGGGGTGTACAAGTTCGCTCGAGAGAAAAAGCGCATGAAGGATTAACTAGTGAAACGATTTGAAATTCTTGTGGTACAATTCCACGCCGCGACCCCCGGTGGGAGATGAAAACCGTCGAGACGGGCGGTTACTACTGTAGTAATCGTGCACGCGCCCTCTGCGAGCACAGTAGTACCTCCACAGCGTACACGTGGCGCAACCGTTGGCGCCGGTCGTAGCCACGGGCACACGTGTGCGACCCATCCGGTAAGTAATTAGCAATTAGTGGTTGATGGCACAAATTAGCCAATTTAGTACAGTAGCTGGTATACAGTATGTAACAGCTACTGTAGCGGGACAGGTGTCCTGGCGTCCCACTTAGGGGTTAAGACCGGGGGCACCTGCCCCGTTCCAGTAAACGGGGGCAGACTCGCCTCCCTTCCCTTTACGGCTTTTTGCTAACTCCGTCCGGTTTTACCTCTAAGTCTCAGGCTTCTAACCCGTGACCGGCCGTCCGGATCTAACACCACCGACCGGCTGCGCGTCACCGGCCACGTGAGCCTTCCCTCTTTTCGAGTCCTTCCGTACGGTTTGCGCTCGCGTGGGTTACCCAGCGGCGCCCGCTCCCTTACCTCTAACCCCCCTCGTTCCGAGTGGTCGGGACGAAGGTAGCTATACCACATTTTGGTACTCTTGTGGAGGGGAATAACTACAGAGGTTGAGCCCGCACTGGATCGCCAGCGCGAGCAACTACCGATCGGATTGAAAGAGGTCGAAAATCATGCGCCGATCCCCAGTGATCATCGACGATGAACCGTGCCGATTCCGCCGGAGAAGATACCGCCTCCGGGCGAGCAAGTACCCGCAGTGGCAGAGGCGCACAGCGCCCCCGGATCGACAATCCGGAAGCCCTGCTACGCCCGCCGTCTACCAGGGGCCAGAAGACCCCTTCCGTTTCGGACACCACCGCCGGGCTACCGGCTGGTGGGGGGAACCGCGTACAAGTACTGTACGACGCATTACTCCCGCGACTACAAACCTGGATAGAGGATTTCCTCGCTGAGGAACTACCTCAGGTCGTCCAGGTTTGCCTCGACCAAACGGCACCAAGACTGGTGGCGGAGCATGCGGACACCGCGCTCCGCGCCCTGCTGGACGAGAAGATCGCCCCCCTCGTACGCGACGAGGTGGTGGCAGCGCTCGCCGCAGAGGAGGACGAATCTCCGACCGCATTGGCTCTAAAGGGAGCTATCAGCTCCGCCGTGGCCATCCGTCTGGCCACGACATTTACCGAAACGGGAGGCGCGGTACCGCCGCCGGCGCCGCGCCGTGAAACCGTTCCGGACTCAAGCTTTAATATCGCTGATCCGATCGGCGCCGTACCCGGAATTGATAGGATGGACCCTCACCCGGAGGGCAGAGCCATCTATCTCCCAACCGTTCACGGTGCTACAGGGAGGACCACAGAAAATGTCCTCCCCATACTCGCCGGTACGGGCGACCCCCGCGGGACAGACAACCGCCTGGGGCTCCCCGAGGCAGAGAATCGGAACCCGTACCGGTTGAGCAGAAGACGTGCACCCGGCATGCACAGGACCGAAGCGGAATACACTCGGTATTCCGACGCAGAAGACCCCCATCACAGGACGGATGAAGACCGCGAGGAACGCCGCTGGCGATACCGCGATAACGGCGAGGAACGCCGCTGGCGATACCGCGATAACCGCGAGGCACGCCACGGGCGATACCGCGATGCCGGAGGGGGAGGATACCCCTCCGATGATGACCCATCCGGTTCGGAAGACTCTCGCAGGCGGGGCCACAGGGCACGCCGCGATAAAAGCCGAGACCGGCACCGGCACGACCCGTCCGACTCGGAAGACTACCACACCGAGTCGGATGAGGAGCGTCGTCGCTCGAGCAGACACCGCCGGGCTGCCCCGAAGAGCGACGAGCGACGGCCCACGGTAATCAGGCCCCTCAATGACCTGTTTACCAAGGCCGTCAACTACAAGACCTAACGCCTGGATCGGCGTAGCTCGCGCTACGACTCTACGGGAGGCGCAGCACATTAACTGTTACCGGAAGAAACTGGACGTGCAGATGAGGTCCCACACGTTCAGCGGTCAAGATCCGATTGCGGTATTGGGATTCCTCGCACGCCTCAAGATGGCGTGCGACCACAACGGGATCACCGAGGGAGCCGCCGTGTGGTGCTTCCAGTTCTACCTCACCGGTCAGGCTCACGCCCTACTCCAGTCCCGTCTCAATGGAAATACCATGGCGGTTGACGTGGAGCGGCGCAAACTGCTCAGGACGTACCCGCAGGTCGTCAACTTTTTGTTGCGTACCTATGCGACCGATGAGGTAATTTCCGAAGCGGTTGGTGACGTGACCTCCTTCCGTCAAAGTTCGAACATGACGGAGGAGGTCTACAGTAACCACCTCTGGGACAAGGCCCTCCGATGCGGTACGGTATTCTCCGACCGGCGGTTGAAGTCCCTATTCGTCGAGGGGTTACTTCCCGCCACGTGCGCACAGGTCCGCAATTACCTCGCTACGCACCCGGATGTGGATTACCAATCCGTCGCTCGCTATGCGCAAGCGATCGGGGAAACCAATCGGGCTTCCCGTCGACAGGGGATGTCCGCCATCGCGCACCGAGAGACGCTCGGAGCGGCTAGAAGATCTGACTGCACCGCAAGGACGAGGCCCGTGCTGTCGGTTGAGTCAGCATCCGACATCTCGACAGCCGGGGGATTTGCTGAAGAAGCAATCCTGGCCGTGACGGACCAAACCGCCACGCCGACCTCGATGAGCTCGCCACCGACGAGTTATTATCCGTCGCCGGCAGCCTCGACGGCGGGCGCCCCGGTTCCGCCCGCCAACCCTGGCGACGTGCGCACAGGACCGTACGGGAGGCAAGGGCAGAATCCACGCGTCTGGTTCTCCGGCGGGAGATTTCCCGGACCGCCACCGTGCCGGTTCTGCCTTGACACCACGCACCGACAAGAGGGGTGCCCCGTCGTTGCCGATGCGGGCCTGCGGGCCAAGCTTCTGGAGGCACGAGAGGCCAACTACCAGAAGCTACACATCCGGCAGGGCCTCCGCCCGGGATCCCCGTTCAACCGCCAAGGACCGTCCGCTTGGAGAGACCAGCGTCCGACGGCCCCTGCGGGCGTGAACGTGGTGGAAGAGCCGCACCACGGCCCTACCGAAGACCACGTGGCGCAAGCCGCGGACGAAATCCGCGAGGACTTGCTTCTGACGGGGGAAGCCGGGGAGGACGCGTAGAGGCGACGACGTCTCTCCCCGTACCCAGCCTCAGAAGCTTAGGCACCCCCGATCCGGCTGCGCCAGTGGAAGCGCAGCCGGGTAACCGAACGGAAGTCCAGGCCATCTGCTTCTTCAAGAAGCAGAATTACAAGATCTCCGCGACGGTTGGTCAGAAGCAGGCGTTGATGGTCGCCATCACGCCAGTGCTTGACTCAGGAGCCGGCCCGAACCTCATCCATTTACGGTGTGTCGCCGAGTCGTGGCGACCATCGATAAAACCGGTTCGGAGCCCAGCGCTCATCGACGCGTCAAACCGCGCGATGAAGGCACTAGGGGAAATCCCCCTGCTCGTCCGAATCGGTGAGTTTGTGGCGCGCGTCTCGTTCCTGGTAGTCACGAGCCTCGCCGTGGACTGTATCCTCGGTACGACCTTCCTGGATCG